AAGTGGTTTCTATCTAAGTTGGGAAGAATATTAAATAAGGTAAGCAACTAGATTTTTTTTAGATGGCCCTGCACTTAAATCCAGATTAAACCTGACAAATTTAGTAGATTTGTTTGAGTCCCTTTATTCTGCTGAGGACAACTTGTGCTCCCAGGTGGGGATTTTCAAAGATTACCAGAGGCAGGGATGTCAAACACAGAACCAGTGGAGCCCTGTGATCTGGGCCCTGGGTCTTAGATCAAGCTGACATGCAGAGCATCTGGGATGTGGGCTGAACAGCACAGGGTGTCAGTCTAGGGTATGGGCTGCATGTGGTGCTTGCACTAAGCTGTCCCTGAGCGCTGGTTCTGGGGCCAGTCTAGATTGGGTTGCACTGGAACCAGCATGCAGGGCAGGTCCAGCAGAGTGTCACATGCAGCGTATCCTCCATGCTGCCCCTTGTGCTGCATGCAGCTTGTGCACCCAGTCCAGCCCTGCATGCAGCATATGCTGGCTCCACTCCCAACACTCGCTTTGCACCCAATGCATGGAACTGGCACTGCATACAGCACCTTACTGGACTGGTCCTTCATGTTGGCTCAGGTGCACATATTGACAGTGTGGAGCCCAGTCCAGACCAGCCCTGGAGCTACCCTGCAGGGTCAGTCTGGTGGGACGTCGCATACAGCCCAGACCCTGGAGTCTGTGCTGCATGTGGTGCAGTTCTAGTCCTTGTGCTGCATGCAGTGCAAGGCCCAGAGTGGGGCTGATGTATCTTGCATGCGGGTCTGAACCCGGCATGGATGCAGCACCAGGGGCTAGTGTGTGCGCCCTGCTGGACTGGCCCTGCATGCTGGCTCTGATGCATGATCCTGATCCAGCCCTTAGACCTGTCCAGTGACCTTCATCCAGCCCCCAGAGCTGGATGTTCGACACCCCTGATCTAAGGGAATTAGGCATCCTACTCCTATTGACATGAAATGGAAGTTGGTTAAATAGATCCTTTGGGCCCTTTATAAAAATCTAGAATATGTTCAATAGTGAGGAGACCCCTCCCTTACCCCATATTGATTCAGGTCTCCTAACCCCTTGCTGGACTACAGTCAGTGCTGAAAATTGGCACTGGCCATGTCTAATACTATTCAAAGGGGGCTTGCCTAGGTGTAGATGTATTTTAAAGCCAGTCTTCTGGCGTTTCCTTTAAACTCTTTGCAATGTTAGCACTAGGCAGAACAGAATGAAATCCCATTAAGAATGGTTTTCTTGCTGCTTGAACCTGTAACATAGAATTAGCATTTTAAAATTGTTGCTTGCATTTCTGTATTGCCTGTCACCATAGTAACAAGAATCATATGCATTAGAAATGCATCAAGAAACATTTTTCCATACCCATTGAAATTATGTTAATTCCTAGTTCTGCTATTTATAGTCATGTCAGTTAACACTAATTTTTTGTCTTATATTCTGGTATACAGATGCTGTGTGGTAAGAATGATGATTCTGTCCCTCAGCTCTTAGTAGACTTCTGGGAAGCCCTTGTAGTATGCTGTCAGGGAGAAGTTCTCCAAGATCTCTTGCTGAAGCTTATTTCACAATATGTTTGGAGATTATCAGGGATGCAATATCCTGATACCGTGCCATTGAAAACAGCAGAGGATCTGGTAAATATACATTGTGCTTATAATGTTGAGAGAAAGTGGAACAGGAGAAAAGTGCAATCTTGTTTACTTTAATGCTGGACAAATTTTGTTCTTAAGACCAAGGATGAAAACATATGAGCTCACGTGTCAGTTACCAAGTAATAACTGCTAGCTTTTGGATTAAGTCCTTAATGCCGTGTTGGGAGTCTCTTGTTTACAAGCATGAATGAATTTAGAACCAGAGAAGCCCAGATCTTGACTTGGAGTTCTGAAATGAAGTTGGATAATCTCTCATTAGACATTTCGGTATTTAAAGGATGAACCTGACCCAGGATAACTTTTATCGCGTTTTGGTACTTCTGTTCCGCAAGAGTCTCTGGATTTTGTTTCCTTCTCAATTTGGAACTAAATGAGAGACCTAACTTTTGGAGGGTGCTAGGGCATCCTTACATTTATGTACGAAAATTTTGAATATGCGTTTTAGGCATTATTCAGTTAACTTCCATGGTATCTGATATGATTTGTCTCGTTTTTTAAATAGACCAGTGGAATAACAGAGCTGTTGGCTTTTGAACCTAAAAATGTGAAATACATAATAGAACTGTGTAAGGGTTCGTGTCATGCTTCATTCAGTTATGTTATTTTGGACTAGTTAATCAAGGTAAACAGTAACTATTCCATTTAAAATGTCAGGGACTTCTTTCTCTAGAATTCATATGCGACTAAAGATGTAATGCCTTCGTACATTAACTCCTTTTTCTTCTTTCTTTGTTCAGATAAACTCCTGTGATCACTATGGGTTAATTTTCCCTTGGGTGATATTTATGATGTCACTGGGACCTCAATCTGATGAGGTTTATCCAGAAGATCTTTCAAAATTACAGGTATGATGACCTTAAACCTGCACACAGCATATGTCCCTTCTCCTGAAAAATGTATTGTATTTTCACCTTTTAAGCATATGAGTAGTCTGGGAAAGCCAGGTGTTTACAAGGGTTTGAAGGGCTGGGACCTTAATTTGTGTATCTGCAGAAGTGCCTCTTTTTTTAATGCCCCATTTTTATCTGTATTTGTGTGTGCAACTCGATTTCATTTCAATGCTACACTTAACCAATTTTAATTTCAACTTTTGGTTAACAGGCATTATATTGTGAATTGGGTTGTAATATTTGGCTTAGTTCAAGTCTTCAATTGTTTCCAAACTTTAGAGTGGACAAAAAAAAATCTTTGGGGATTGAAGAGAGGAATGGCACTGGGAAGAGCCCTTTGTAGACTGCTACATCCTAAGCTGTTTAATGGTGGTATATTATAGCATCTGCGGGCGTGTCTACATGAGACAGTGGCACAGTAGCAAAAAGCCATGGCTCATTGCTGCCACACAGTAACATTGCTGAGCACTAACCGTGACACAACACTACTGCGCAGTAGTTGCACGCTACTGCGCAGTGGTGTCAGGAGAAAAAAAACATGCGGCAACAGCATTGTGCAGTAATGCTGGTTACTGCTCAGTCATTTAGTACTTGCTTATGTGCGTACTAAATAACTGTAATAACAGCTACTCAGTATGCCACACATGTAGACTCAGCCTGCTTGACCAGAGTTTAGGTAAGAGGAGACAAAGGAAATGAGCAGGTGAGTAAATGTTGTCATAGGCAAAAAGAGTTCAGAACTCACGAGAAAGACAGGTTAAGAGACGTTGACTCAGAATCACTCAGGCATTTAGTGATTTTATACCAGATAAATGTAGCTTAGGACAGATGCAGCTTATATGTGATTTAAAAATAAGTATTTCTGCTTGACAACAAGCAAGGTATGCTCAATAATCATATTAGACAGGGTTCATATTAATATTAAGGATGAAATAACCTATTGACATGTTTCTACATTTTCTAGTCTTATTTAGCAAACTTTTGAAGTTTGGCCAAGTTAAAATATAAAAATTCAAGTTCAATTCAGACTCCTTGCTCTTTAGCCTGAACTACAGTTCTTGCTGAAAGACAACTTGTAGATGAACTAAGATAAGGGCTGCTTTGAAACTCAATTTTTAATTTCAAGTAAAACATTCTTTTCCCTAGCAGGCTGGCTACCTGAAAGTCTTTAAAATCTCTAAGACTTGGAGATTAACCTTACATTTATTTAAAATATTAAAACTTCTATTATTAATAAATATTTGAGTATTTGGTTTGATGTGCTTTTATCTGTGTTGTCTTATCATTCTTATTCTACTTCAGTAGTAAAATTGGTACAAATGTTTAAGTAAAACATTTAAGTTAGGTTCCTTCTACGACCAGGTGACCTATCACCTGGACAAGGGAGAAGAGATTGATGTCATATATCTTGACTTCAAAAAAGCCTTCGATCTGGTGTCCCATGATCGCCTCTTGGAGAAACTGGCCAATTGTCGCCTTGGGTCCTCCACGATCCACTGGCTGGAAAATTGGCTCCGGGGTCGGACCCAGAGTGTAGTAATTGATGAAAGTCACTCGTCGTGGTGTCCTGTGACCAGTGGGGTCCCCCAAGGCTCTGTCCTTGGACCCATACTGTTCAACATCTTCATTAATGATGTGGACACTGGAGTCAGAAGCGGACTGGCCAAGTTCGCCGATGACACCAAACTTTGGGGCAAAGCATCCACACCAGAAGACAGGCGGGTGATCCAGGCTGACCTGGACAGGCTCAGCAAGTGGGCGGACGAGAATCTGATGGTGTTCAACGCCAATAAATGCAAGGTGCTCCACCTTGGGGAAAAAAACCCGCAGCATCCTTATAGACTCGGCAGTGCTATGTTGGCTAGCACTATAGAAGAAAGAGACTTGGGGGTCATCATTGACCACAAGATGAACATAAGCCTGCAATGAATTCAAAAAGGATGTGGAGAAGCTTGAGAGAGTCCAGAGAAGAGCCACGCGCATGATCAGAGGTCAGGGAAGCAGACACTATGATGACAGGCTGAGAGCCCTGGGGCTCTTTAGCCTGAAAAAGCACAGGCTCAGGGGTGATCTGATGGCCACCTACAAGTTTATCAAGGGTGACCACCAGCATCTGGGGGAACGTTTGTTCACCAGAGCGCCCCAAGGGATGACGAGGTCGAATGGTCACAAACTACTTCAAGATCGTTTCAGGCTGGACATAAGGAAGAATTTCTTTACTGTCCGAGCCCCCAAGGTCTGGAACAGCCTGCCACCGGAGGTGGTTCAAGCGCCTTCATTGAACACCTTCAAGACGAAACTGGATGCTTATCTTGCTGGGATCCTATGACCCCAGCTGACTTCCTGCCCTTTGGGAGGGGGGCTGGACTCGATGATCTTCCGAGGTCCCTTCCAGCCCTGATCTCTATGAAATCTATAAACTTATTCTTGATTTTGATGGGTCAGGCTCCCTGAACATTCCTTGGTCCACAGATCATCTTTGGGGGTTAACAGCTTGGAGTTTTAGCATCCTTTTTCATATGGGAGGAGGCTCAAAACATTTGCTGAGACTTTGGAATTCCCAGACTTTTTGGTGGTGGTGTGTAGGTAGGGAAGAATTAAGATTTAATCCTGAGAAGCACCAAGTAGAGCTGGTGGTTGAAAGGTGTCAGACAACATATATTGCCACTAGAGAATGTTGATACATTGAAATTGATACATTCTGCCAGAGCCATCCTTAGGGGTGACAGCCCCAGGCCCCATGCTTTAGGGGTACCCGGCAAAGCTGGGCAGAGTGGCCGCAGCCCCTCCCACAGGGCCTGCCTGGAGCTGGCAGTTCAGTCCTGAGCCATGGAAGAAGCACGGAGATCCCCTCTCTCTTTGCAGGACTACCATGGCCCTGTGCAGTATTAAGAGGGCCTCGCATCACCCCTAGGGTCGGCTCTGCATCCTGCAGGGACGGTTGGATTTCACTGAATGGACAAAGGAAAGCAGGCAGGTGGAAATGGATCTGGCAGGCAGGTGGAAACTGACTTGCCTGCCTGGCTTTTTGTCAGTTTTTTAGCACTCCAGGCTTCCAGGGCTTCTTCACTTCCAATGTAGGCAAAAAGGAAAACTGCTTCAGAGTAGGGCTCTCTAAAGTTGTTTTTCCCCTTAGTATTTCAAGATTCCTAGCTTCTGTTCCAAAACAAAAACCAGAACAAAACCTGGCTTCACAATAATGACATCTCTCTGCCTTTCTCAGCACAGTTTTAGCAGTTTCATGGCTTTCGTGTTGCTAGTTTTGGCTGATACAGGGATAGGCCAGAAGAGTGTTCCCAGGTGAGATATTCCATATGTGTTGGCCAGTTCGGGTAATGGCTCCACGTACACTTAAATCCTACCCCATAAATATCCCAGTATTGTGTTAGGCAGGCAAGGTTACTTGGGTAATTTATTAGACCAGCTGAATAAAAGATATCACATTTACCCACGTAACCTGATGTCCTTAGACCAACAGGCTAAAACCAACACCCCTGCATTGTTTTACCGCCCATTTTGGTACGACTTGCACACTTGATTTTTTTCTCTTTGCATGCGTGTGCATGCACACACATTGGTGTGTTTGTGTTTAAATCCTAATACCATGGTTTCTTGTCTTCAGTCTCTTTTATGTGGTCCATCAGTTAATGCAACTTCAGTTCTGCCTTTCTTGGAGCCACTATTGGAAGACAGTAATGCTGGCCTCAGTATACATGTCCTTTGCACTACACGTATGGGAGAGTGTGAAAAATCCATTGACAAACTACTAGAGAGGTGTCCTGAAGCAGTCATTTCTTATGCCCAGCATGAGCTGAAAGATGAAAATCGGGTGAGCATTTACAGGTGTTTTTTTTCTTTTTCTTTTTTGCCTACCTAGTCAGTTGCCGAGTTAATAGTAGAGTAACTTCCATTGAACAGAAAAGCTTTAGAAGGACTTCCCCCAGCAGCTGGAAAGACTGGAATGCCAGTCGGTATTATTGCGACTCATTAGATTTTCTCTTAGGAACAGAGAGAACTAATTTCTAGGCTAAATGTATTGTTGTTTGAAGCAGGGGAATGCTGAAGAAGGAGGAATTATTATCCATGAAAAGAACAGGATTTCATTTTTACTTTACTGTTTAAGACCCAAGTAAATGCAATGTTAAGGTTACTGGTGGTGAGGCATTAAACAAAGGTACAAAGTTCTCATAACAGTGCTGTTTTAAGCATGCTGCGCAGAACTATTGTGAGAGATTTGCATGTGAAAAATCCATAACCATAATATTTTATTGACTATTTCTTCAAATACATCTTAGAGGTTTTGGGGCATTTGGGGGTATTTTTTTCTGACCCACATACACAGCCCATCAAATGAGTGAAGTCTGTTCTTACAAGCACTAGGGGGCGCTCTCATAATTCTGATCTTGTTCTTGGAGTTTAAAAAAAAAGTCGGGTTGATCTAAACATATGTTGCAGGCATCATAGCACTTGGCATTGCAGTGCACTGTGTAAGCCAGTTACTAAGAGCATCTTCAATTACACTATTATTTTTACCACTTCTGATATTAACTCAAAGGGTTTATTTTTTAAAAGCTTGTGTTCATGATCTATTTATAATAATTGCTAATTCACTGCTTTGTTGTATGGATGAATTAGGCTCTGTGGTGGACAAAACTGCTTCCTGACCTCTGTAAACGAACCAGATGTCCTGGAGAGGACTATTCCATCCTCGTTTCAGCCCTGAAAGGTAAAAGGCCTGATTACAATTTAATTGTCTATATAAAGCCTTTCTGCTGCATCCAGGGTATTTGAAGGCTGCTTATGGCTGCTTATCTTAAACTCCTGATCACTTTACTGTCTGCCAGTTTGAGGAGGAAGGCCTTTATCCACTTGTAATGTTAACGTAGTTATATACAGGCTAGCTGGCTATTTGGAGCACTCAAATTATGGCATGCATCCTTATTCTTAATTCTGCATCATAGAGATTGAAAACTATTCATGCCACAAAACTATGAGTTGTCAATGATGTATGGTAAGTAATTTTGTGCCAAGCCCAGTGAAATGAAATCCTGAAAAATTGGGAGACTATCTAACTTAAATTGAGAAATATTGAGGACCAGAGACTCAGACCATGCTAAGAATTACATTTGATTGCTTTTGTAGTTGAATTGTTGACTGAACAAAACTGTACTGTGTTGCTTGTCCTTGGGATGAGACAGAAGGAAGCAGACATGCATAGTTCTGGGCTTTTTGGCTCTGTGGCTAAAGGAAACCACTTCTTTTTTCCTGTTGAGACTGGAACCCTGGTAGAACTTTGACTTAAAGTTCCTCCCATTCTTCCCCCCACTCCCACCAACCTTCACAGTTGCCAGGGTCACATTACTCGGTGTTTCCAGGAAATCAACAACTGCTTTTATAAGAGGTTGCTCATGTATGCGGAAAAAATAACATTTTATTTATTATCAATCATTATAAAAACTCCAACCTGAGATCAGAAGGGATTGCAATAGTGTGATGTTCCTTGTAGTAAGTAGTGCATAAGGTTTTGTTAGATGCTTCACTGTCTGACCACTATCTTAATTTAAGGGTTTGATATAGAAGAGCATACAGTCAAATAATTTTCTCTCTCATATTGGCCCAAGTGCACTACAGGCACTTAACTGAAAAACAACTAGCATAACTTTTTCCTTCTCACTTTGTATGGCATGCGAGGTTCTAGAAAAGTCTTTGGTGTGTGTTGGTCTAGTACAGTGGTAATGTAGAACTTTTTTTGCCTGGTTGAGCACCCATGGTCTAGTTGAGGTGATGAGTCAGTAGAGGTGTCTTGGTGTTGCTACCATGATTACCTCCATGTCTTAAACAGTTTCCCCAGTTGTATCACTTGCTATAAGCATCTCATATGAGTTCAGTCACAATCTTTGGGTGTTTTGGTGATTTTTAAATACCAAATCTAAACTGCTACTCTTAATTGGAGCTGATCTGAAATGCAGTATTCTCTCTCTCTCTTTTTTTAATACAGAAACTTTATCAGTTGTTGCCACGGAATTGGAATTAAAGGATTTCCTTAATGTTCTACCAGAGGATGGGACTGCAGCTTTTTTCGTGCCTCATCTTCTTCAGTGCAGCCAAAGAAAACTGGTAACCTAGAGGCAACTAGAAGCTTTGCTACACTTAAATACCAGGAGAGCAACAGAGTAAATATGCAAAAACCTGCAAGTGGAACTATCCAGAAAAATATTTTAGATTCAACCTAGCTGCAAACATCTAAAGTAGTGGTAGAAATATAACATAAGGCTACAATGTACTGATAATGATGCGGTTACAATCAAAACTCAAGACAGCATCAGTTTTGTAGATGAAGAAAGACATTTCCAATACTAAAACTTCATTGATGTCCGCAAACCTGTCTATTAAGTAGAACTAAATGTTGTGTTGACATGTGAAAGCATGAACAATTATTTGGGCAAATATCAGATACAGCTTGGACACTTTAAGGGGCAAGTTATTTATGGCCAAAGTGGTAAGAGAAATGTTATACTCACTATCAGAGTTGCAAAACTCTGTAGTGTTCATGTAAAAATGAAGAAGAATACAGCTGTTAGTCATGGCTTTACCTAATTAGACCCCAGTCACAAAGCAGTTAAACTTATGAACGTGTATAAGCATGGAAGCAGTTCCTTGACTTGCTCTTCTGACTAGAATCCTGTGGAAGGTCTTGTGTTTAGAAATATGTGTATTCTTGTGTAGTGTCATTTAAATTTGATTTGGAAAAACAAGTTGTGTTGAATGCATTGATAGTTGAGGACTGTATTCAGCAACTGCATAGAAAACGTCAAGAGAAGTATTTTAAGTGGAGATGAGAAACATGCACTCTTCTGGCTTGTTTAATATTTCCCACTTTCCCTTTCATCCTTTACATTTGGTCTATAATGGACAACAAACATCTTTTAAAAGACAAGAACTAGTTTCCTACTACTTTCAATCTCCATCACCAACCCAGCTGCTCAGCACATCACCTTTTGTGTTTTATAAATAGAAAATATCCTGTGATTCCTTCAACTGAGTTCTGGCTGAAGTAAATACAATTATATTAGCTGGTTACAATTCAACTGGAATAACTCACTTTTTTATGTATAAACTATTTTCTAAAGGTTTTCTGTGGTGACTAGAAGTGTGCTATGTACACAGTAGTATTCAAACTATGAACACTTAAGCTATGAACTAACTATAATCTGTAAACCACAATAAAAATGACTATTTGAATACCTAAATAAAGTGGTTCTCAAGAAGGGGGTTGGGGCCAGGAGATCATTTGATGGGTGCCATGAGGTGGGAAGAGATAAGCAGTTGTGAAGAAGTATGTGCAGCCTCAGGCCAAGCCCCTCTTTCTGGCCTGTGCTTTTATCTGAGTAATGGAAGTGTCAATGAGGTTGGGTAGCTGGGTCTGATCAAAATCCATTTTGTTGGTTTTAGTCTTTTATTTGTGGAGGGCAAGATTCTTCAGGTATATCAAATAAGGATATTGTATCAGCCAGCCCACTTGGTGGCTCCAGGCCTGGGCATCAGGCTAAGAAGCCAAAGGCCTTGAGTTCAAGTTGCTTGCAGTCTCTGTTGACTAGCCAAGGGGTCCTTGGCTGCAGCCAAAATTCCCTTTTCCCCCAGTTTTGGGCTGCTGTGGTCCCTTGAGCCACACCACATGGGGAGTCCAAGAGAAAGCAACCTCACCAGCCTGCTGCGTGGCTTCAGGGTGGGGTATTGGGCTGGATTCAAGGCTTGCTGTGGCCTCTTGGCTGGGCCAAAGTCCCTTCTTGGGTGCAACTAACTTTTTTTTTTTCTCCTTTCTTGCCATTTTGGGCTGCTGCTCAATTCCAAAAGTTGTGGAGGGGGTCCCTGGAATCTGAAAAGGTTGAGAACCTCTGGTCTAAATGAAGGGTTATGGAACCGTGGAATCCATAGTTAATCCAGAAGTATTAGAATCCAGTTAATCTAATGGATTCCAGTTAATCCATTAGAATCCAGTTAATCTCACAGAAGTATTGGTGTTGCCTAGAACCCAAACTTCAATTGAATAAACTTATGTATTTGGAATCTGGGAAATACCTTTCAAGGAACATTACACTCCCTGTCAAGTCTACCTGCATGACCTTCTAAAGTGAGGACTTAAAAGTTGCTTAGTGATTAGTTTTGTGAGGGAATGATTTTTAACTTCCATGGACTCGTGTCTTTTTAAAGAGCAGCATTGTAGATTTCAAATACAAAGGAAAGAGTTTAGGAATTATAGGAAAAGTTAAAATATTACTTCTGTTCCTGAGTGCTTTAGACACAAAAGCACTTCTCAGGCTGCAGAAAATATGCAGAAATACTTCCTACATATTTTGCCTATTCTAAATTCTATGTATTGTGAAAGAACCAGCTAAAAATAGGGAGCTGCTGATTTTTAGTATTGCTCACTTTCTGCAGGGGAGAGGGTTTGAGCTGAAGCTATTTGCTTCAACAGATGTTCTGTATATACAGCTAAACAACAGCAGAAGTGCCTGACAGAATTATCCCTCTGCACATGCTTTGAGGTCATCTGGATCAGTGGAACCCAGATGCTCCCAGTACTCTGGAAATAGGTTGGGTGATTGGGAGTTTTTTGCACTCTAGCCTAGGGCCTTCTCCTACTATTTTGTATATCAGTGAGCCACAGTTGTGTGGTTTCAGTTGCTAAACCTTTCTATTAAGGGCAAGCATTGGTCATATGGTAGCTTCAATGTGCTCCTGTCACTTAACAGCCAGAAGAGTAGAATTGAGCACCTTAGCGCAGCTTCGCTTGCACTACACAGAAATGCTGACAGCAAGGCAGCGTTACTGAAAAGCTCTTGCTATGCAGCATATCAAAGGTGTTATAGTAACTTGTCATTAGACTAGTTAACTATTTGGGGTTAAATTCTGCCCCATGTATATCTCACTCTGAGCCTAGCTCATCATAGCCTTGCTGCTTAAGTTATAATATTCATTGTATTCTTTTTTTAGTGTTTCCCATTTATTTGTTCAAAGTCGAATAGCTGTGACAGTGAAACGAGTATTGGATAGGCTCACTCATTCAAGTGATTCAGCAGAGATGAGAGTTTCCTTCCTACGCTCCCCAGAATGACAGTTAAACTTGCAAAAAATACATTCCTAGAGAACATAACGAATAAACACTGGCTTGTTTCCTTTCACCTGTGACTTCTGAATTCTGAAATCATTTAACTCCCCTCTCCCCCTCTACCTCAAACAGACTTTGTTTTTAATTTTTAGCAATACATGTCAGTAGTGAAAATAATTGTTTACAGAAGAGCCCTGTTTAATATGTACACATACCAGTTCTTCAGGAGTTAAATGGTAAATGTTGTGATATGTAGATGTTACTAATCAGGAAACACCTGGAATCTTCAGGGGCTAGTTATACAAGAATTTATTTAAAAAACAGCAACTTTTATAGGCTACATATTCACACAGCTGTCATAAACTATGGTCAATAGATTATCAGTAGGTCACAGAAACCTTGAGATAACCAGACTGAGAGCACAGGTGAGCCAGGAGATCTTTCTTATGCTTCCTTGAGCAAGGACTTCAGTGGGAGCCAACTTCTTCCCTTTGATGTTGCAGCTTTATTTGTTTAAGTAGTGTTAGTAATGGGGACTGCCTCTGTAAAAAGGCAAAATAGTGTTTGTAAAATCCATTATATCAGCACTACATGTTATTTGGGTCAGACAGCTTGTTTTAAAACATTTTTCCTACTTAATTTTTAACAAAAAAATGCTTCTACAAACCCTTATTTTCAAATGGAGTTGCGCGCACAACTGTCTAAAGCATCTCTTAATGCTCAAATAGCTATTTTGGTAGTTGAAAGCAAAACAAAATAAAAACCATAGGTATATAGGACAGGAAAATTATTCTGAAATTTCCCCCTTTTTGTTTCATTATTTGCAACCAGCTTTCTTCCTCAACTAAAATGCCCTCCCAAGTATAAGAGCATTTTCATGTTATCAGTACTCCTGCCCTTAGTTATATCCTCTATCCACAAATTCCTCCCTTTATATTTCTTTCAGGTCCAGGAAAAAACAGAATAACAACCACCACCAATTGGCCTTGTACAAAATGATGATTTCTAAAGTTATGTATCAGACTCCTTTGTTTGGCCATCTCCTCCAAAACAAGCCAACTCTGACTTGTAAAAATTACTGGTTATGCAGATGACCTTAGCTGAGTTTTTCTAATTTTGCTTACCAGTTATAGCAAATGGTAGCATCTGATTTAAAGAGAAAAAAGTATTGGCAAGACTAATATTATAGAAATGGTACTTAAGTGTTTCCCTCCTCCTGAAAAGGATATTGTATGTTTTCAGTGAAGAGCCCATATTTTTAGGTAACTTATACTGGCGTGAATCTGTAATAACCATCGTTTAAAGCCCAATCTTCCATACAGTACCATGAGCCTTATTCTTGAATCCCCCTGGTATAAAATAGCATGGCACAATGCAGAGCTTAGCTGGCCTAGGTACATCTCTGTTATCTGGGGCTTCCGGGACTTCCACCTGGGTTAATGAGCCCTGCTGAGGGGCAGAATACAGTTCTGTAATTCATGCAGAGCTAGGTTGTGTGTCTGTTCATAGTGCCACATTGCACCATGTATTTGTATCTCTAGAAACATTACGGTTGCCTGGGAGGCCAAAAGTGGGAGAGTACAAGAGTAACTTAAACTTAAAGCCACAGCATCAGCATCCTTCCTTTTGGATTATTAATTCTGTTTGCCCCTTCTCAACACAGAACTTTGCACTGGTCTTCATTTAGTCGTTTGTAACACATATGCCCTGTCATGTCTCCCCTTTCTGTGGACCAAACTTTCTGTTGTTTATGGCTAGGGCTGTACCTTGCAGTCAGCAGTATCCTGAACAGGTCTGTAATTATTCTATGAAATCAGCTCAGTAGCTGTTAGTTACCTTGTTTGGGAGTACTGTATATGTGGTTTCCATGCCGGCATGGATGTGGTCAGTCACATGACAGTGCAGCAGCCAGGAGCCAGGATACTTTGGAATCATTTCTACTGTTTGAAATGTCCCAGGGAAGAGATCAAAAACATCAGCCCGGTAAAGTCCTGTGCGCTTCAAGAAAAAGGTGAGAATAGCAGTTTAATTACAAGTATAATATAGGGTAGAAATAGATGATACCTTTTCTTGCCTTTATGCTGCCATAAAAATTTTATGGTGGTACAAAGGTGAAGCAAAATAGACATCTATACCCTTTTTCACTCCACAAATGACCAAAATTACAAAGTTACTAATGGATTGCAAGAGTCGATTGTGGTGGACATCTCTTTGGTTGGGGCAGGAGGGAGTGGGCAGCCAGAGCTGCCCATCCTCTCCAGCTGCTCTAGAGGGCTGAGGGGCCCAATCCTGCACACACCAGAGAATTCCCAGGCAGAAGCAAGCTCCTCAAGCTCCTGGCAGGCCTGCCTGGCCTCCCCTGCTTACAGAGAGTCACCCTGGGGAATCTCTGGATACATTTCAGTGAGCCGGGAAAACCCAGAGTTTCCTACTTAGAGACACACCTCTGGTATCTCCTGGGCATGTCTCCTTAAGCAGGGAACCCTGGGCTTTTTCCACTGATGGAGACGCAGACCTGAGTGGTGCCAGGGTGTTGTGGGAGTCGGAGAATTCCCAGTGCCTTGTGCCTTGAGGCTGGGATCCACAGTGACCTATGCCTCCATGTGAAGCACTGGATTGGTGTAGGTGCCAACATGGAGGAACAGGTTGCTGGGGACTCACTGGCTCCCACGCTTCTGAGTCAGGACCTGTGCTGACCTGTGCTTCACCTGGAGGGGCAGGTCAGCATGGGTTTCAACAAGGAGGCCCGGGGTAGGCAGGAAGCCTGGAATTGCCTGGCAAAGGGAATATCTGGTCCCTTGTACTGCATTGGGCTGCTGAACAAATACATAATAAGAAGCAATGTTTGTTTCGCCTAATAAAATAGATGTGGCAGGATGTTCCACTACAGTTGATCCACTGTTTCTAGCCATAGTGCTGAGATAATAGGTCATACACTGGAGTGGGTGAAAGCATAATTATCATTTGAGCATTATGACCATAGTAATGGTTATCACCATAATGATAAAAATCCACAAAATTATGTGAAATTTATACACTAAATCCTATCATCAAGTATCTATATGTCTCTCTCTAAGATTACATTGATCATATATTAGTTTTATATAAAACATTAGTTCAAGCTGCAGGACCGTTACCTTATTCTTCAGAAGAAGTGTACATCCAAGGAGTAACTGGCATAAGAGAGAAAACAACAAGAAACCAACATAACAGGAACTTTTACCTTATACTCAAAACTGTGGCCGTGGAAATGAACTGTATGCATATCCACTTCATTCCCCATTCCCATCAGATACCAGTTTACTTTATCACCAACATGCATTGTAAGACCATGTAAGTTTCCAAACACTTTCCCATTGATGGCTAGAGGAAGAGGGGGGAAAAAAACACATACACATTTGGCTTTGTTGTTATCCAGGCTTATATGGCAGATTTAAATTTGAGAATTTAAGGCTACTGGTAGGAACTATTTTAACTTGGTGCATTTAAATAGACATGCGATGCCCCATCTCTTAAGGAATAAGGAGACATATAATTGGTTCTGATGATACCGTCAGGCCTTGGACACCCCTAACTCCTATGAAACTCTTAAGAGATGAGGTTAATGAAGAGCTGCTCAGGATTGGGTTGATATTAGAACAAAATAGCAATCTGTTTGTTTAAACTTGGGTATCAAGATTTCAACCTGCATATGCTTTTTGTTAGTAAAAGAAAAAAAAAAGCTAAATAATTTTGTTTCAGTGCTTTCATTCCAATGGGACATAGGCACAGACTTAAGTGTTAGCCTCAAGATGCTTTCCTGATGCAGGGCATGTTACTAAGGTTTGCAGGAGGGAACCTCAATAATTGAAGATTAGAAAGTCACACATGCAAGTATTGCAGGAGTCTGCAGTGTCTTCCAGGCACATAGGTTTCAGATTTGTATTAATGAAATGAGGAAGCATACCATGCATTTTATTGCTTTCAAGGAATTCCTCATCCTCTTTGTTCACTTGGTCTGGATTGGCAGAATAGGTTTGGATATTTTCATCCAAGTACCAAGACTCATTTTCATCAAAAACCACAAAAAGAAGAGCAAACTGAACTTTCTTTTGCAACTGAAATGATGGCAAATAACGGTCACTACAGACAACAAGTGTTCCTATCAATCCACTGAAGGTATCCTGAAAATATAAAGAAACAAATAAAATTTTCACATGTGAGTAAGCCAAAGAGTCTTTAGCCTCAGTAATATAAGTACTATGATTGGGGGGGCGGGGAGTTGTTAGTTCATAACAAGCCCGATCACAGATGTCACCCTGACATCTGCTGGGCAATACAGTGGCGTGCAGGCAATTCAAGAAGTTTTTGGAGAATACTGGGGACAACTTCCTGGTACAAGTGCTGCAGCAGCCAACTAGGGACCATGCTCTTCTTGACCTGCTGTTCACAAACAGGGAAGAATTGGTGGGGAACACAGTGGTGGATGGCAACTTGGGCAGCAGTGACCACAAGATGATTGAGTTCAGGATCCTGAAGAAAGGAAGGATAGAGAGCAGCAGAATAAGGATACTGGACTTCAGAAAAGCAGACTTTGACTCACTTGGGGAACCTAGGATCCCCTGGGAAACCAAACTGAGAGGTGAAGGGAGGAGATGGGTGTACTTCAAAGAAGCCTTACTGAGAGTGCAGGAACAAACCATCCCGATGTGCAGGAAGACTAACAAGTATAGCTAAAGACCAGCTTGCCTTAGCAGAGAGCTCTTCAGTAAACTAGTTCACAAAAAGGAAGCTTATAAGAAGTGGAAACTTGGACAAATAACTAGGGAAGAATATAAGAGCGTTGCTCGGACATGCAGGGATGAAGTCAGGAAGACCAAAGTGCAATTGGAGTTGCTGCTAGCAAGGGATGTGAAGGGTAACAAGGGCTTCTACAAATACGTACATAGCAAGAGGAGGATTGGGGAAAGTGTGGGTCCCTTACTGAATGGGGGAGGCAACTTTGCGACAGAGGATGCAGAAAAGGCTGAAGTGCTCAATGCCTTTTTCGCCTTAGTCTTCACAGCAAAGGAAAAACTTCACAGTCAGGGTGTCCAGACTGTGGAATAACTCCCTCCAGAGGTGGTGCAGTCACCTACCCTAAAGGTATTCAAAAAGAGACTGGACAGTTACCTTGCTGGGGTCACCTAACCCCAGTTGTCTTCCTGCCTAGACCTGGGCAGGGGGGAACCGGACCCAATGATTTGCAAGGTCCCTTCCAGCCCCTAGCAATCTACTAATGAATCTATGAAAAAGGTCAGCTTCCAGACTACTGCACAAGGCAGCACAGTTTGGGGAGGAGGTGAGGAGCCTTCAGTGCTGAAAGAACAGGTTAGAGACTACTTAGAAAAGCTGGATGTGTACAAGTCCATGAGGCTGGACAGGATGCACCTGAGGGTGCTGAGGGAGTTGGCTGATGTGATGTAGAGCCATTGGCCATCATCTTTGAAAACTCAAGTTGATCAGGAGAGGTGCTGCTGACTGGGAAAGGGCAAACATAGTGCCCATATTTAAGAAAGGGAAGAAGGAGGATCCAGGGAACTACAGACCAGTCAGCCTCACCTCAGTCCCTGGAAAAATCATGGAGAAGATCCTCAAGGAATTCATTTCTAAGCACTTGGAGGAGAAAAGGATGATTAGGAACAGTCAGCATGGATTCACCAAGGGCATGTCATGCCTGACCAACCTGATTGCCTTCTATGATGAGATGACTGGCTCTGTGGATGTGGGGAGACCAGTGGATGTGGTGTACCTTAATTTTAGCAAGACTTTTGATATGGTCTCCCATAGTATTCTTGCAGGTAAGCTAGGGAAATATGGGCTGGATGAATGGACTGTAAGGTAGATAGATAACTGGCTGGAGCATCGGGCTCAGAGAGTAGTAACCAATGGCTCACTGTCTAGTTGGCGGCCGGTATCAAGTGGAATGCCCCAGGGGTTGGTCCTGGGGCTGGTTTTGTTCAATGTCTACATCAATGACCTGGAAGATGGCATGGAGTGCACCCTCAGCAAGTCTGCAGATGACACCAAGCTGGGGGGAGTAGTAGATACACTGGAGCATAGGGCTAGGATTCAGAGTGACTTAGACAAATTGGAGGATTGAGCCAAAAAGAATCTCATGAGGTTCAATGAGGACAAGTGCAAAGTCCTGCACTTAGGATGGAATAATCCCATGTGCCAGTACAGGCTGGGGGCTGACTGGCTGGGCAGCAGCTATTTAGAAAAGGAAATGTGGGGTTACAATGGACAATAAGGTGAATATGAGCCACTACTGTGCCCTTTACACAACAGTGTGCCTATTATTCCCTTATATTCAGTACTGGTGAGGCCCCATCTGGAGTACTGTGTTCAGTTTTGGGCTGCCCACTACAGAAAGGATGTGAACAAGTTGGAAAGAGTCTACCAGAGAACAACAAAAATGGTGAGGGGGTTGGGGGATATGATTTATGAGAAAAGACTGAGGGAACTGGGCTTATTTAGCCTAGAGAAAAGAAGACTTAGTGGGAATTGAAAAGCAGCCTTCAAGTACCTGAAGGGGAGTTCAAAAGAGGATGGAGCTATCAATGGTGGCAGATGACAGAACCAGGAGCAATGGTCTCAAGTTGCAGCAAGGGAAGTTTAGGTTAGATATTAGGAAGAATTTTCTCACTAGGAGGGTAGTAAAAAAATACTGGAACAGGTTTACCCAGGGAGGTGGTGGAAGCTTCATCCTTGGAAGTTTTTAAGACTTGGCTAGACAAAGCTTTGGCTGCGATGATCTAGTTGGGGATGGTCCTACTTTGAGCAGGAGGTTGGACTAGATGACCTCCTTAGGTACCTTCCAATCCTGCCTTTCTATGATTCTATAATTGACAGTTAAATAAGGAAACATCATATAAATAGAAGGGTTATTCATTTGTAGGCAGCCAATAACCTAAAGGTATGGAGCATGAACAGCAGCCATTTCTCCTGCTGTTGCTAGAGAGGAACATTTTAATCTTCATGTCTTGTTCTTCCTCCCTCCCACCCCACAAATTCCACTTCTGAGCTACAATTTCTTTGTATTTGTTTTCTGATAAAATATATTTTGTAGATTTGACCTAAACATTTGTGAAACCTGAATAAGAGGGGTAAGCTGAATTCACACACACATCCACACCAAGGCCTGCACTTGCAGAATGTGTTTTGCAGAACTGTGTGCTTAATTTGTATGCTTATTTATCACAGTTGCATGTGGCATTTGCCCATGCAAATAACCAATTAGATGCTTGCTCCATGGTGATCAAAGTTAATGGAATAGTTTCTTTGGCTTTCAAGGACTTCATAAGATGATTGCTTTAAAAATTAATTAAGGTTAACTGTACACAGCAGCAGGAACACAGAGGGAAAAGACGGGGTAATGCTGTTTGCTAATTCCATACTAGGTGTCCTGTTGATACTATGTCCGTTAAAGTAAGAAACCTAACCAAATTGGAATGTAGAACAAGGGATTTACTTTTAATGGAGGAAACAGAAAATGGAAAAGTGCCAAGTTCTTTTCCCTTTCACTGGAAGATACTGTGTGGAATCAAAAAACAGCTTGAATAACTGCCATTAAAATGTACCTTGACTATATCCACAGCTGAGTAATAAGCCCAAGGGATACAATGTGGATCTCCTTTCCCAGAAGTAGATCTCTCAGGAATTTTCCAGATGTATGTTTCTGTTTGACCTAAATTAAATAGATGTTGAAATATTTGAGGAATGTATCCTTTTTGTGCCCCTCTCCTCTAGAAAAACTAATTTAGTCTCAGAGGTTAATGAAAAACTGGTTCAAAGGAGGTCGTCAAGGTTCTTACATCAAGTCAGTCTTTTTTTTTTCTTTTTTTTTAACCTATTTCTCCCTTCACAAACACATTGTGCCTTACAGGATTTTTTTTTTAAACAAACAACCTGATGCATAACATAGACTTTGCCCTGCAAGCAAATAATTTAACAATTTATTCTGAAACAGATGATATCTCAGTTTGCAATCTTGAACTTCCTTTTCCTGAGTCCAGCTCTGCCTAGGTCACTATTATTGTTTCTCTTTTGTAGATCCATTAACTGTCTTGCTCAAATCCTCTTGTGTGATCTTCCTGTCCCATTTTACCACCTTTTAGAAAAATAACTATATACCATACAGAAAATCCAGAATAATTTATGAAATAATAAACAGATTGCACAGGCCAAATAATGATAACATTAAGATAGGCCAACTCAAGGACTGCAAAGAGACTGTCGGACCTGGCACTGTGTTAAGATGCACTTTAATACCATATTTGCCCCCTAGTAATTAGATTCTATACATGGGAAATTTGTAAATTTGTTACTAGTTTTTCATGTATAGAATCTGATTAGCAAAGGGTCATCTTAATGATTTCTCCTCACTACTGCAGCAGGAAAAGCAGTGGTAGGGGGCAGGTAACAGGGAACTGCCTCTTGCTACCTGGACCCCCTCTCTGCTGTTCCCTGCCATAGTACCCTCCGATGCAGCTCTGGCTGGGAGCAGAGAATATATTGTGGCTCTGGCTCCTGCCTGGTCAGGCAGTTACAGCAGCACCAATTGTGGACCCAACCCCAGCAGAGCCAGGGTGGGAGCTGCCAGCACCACAACTGCTGCTGCCTGGCTGGAGCCAGAGCCACAACTAAGGGTAAGCGGTAGGAGGGAGGGAGGGGAACAGGGGGAGGGGGGAGGGACTTGTCTTGGATTTGATTAAATATAGTATATTAATTGTTAAGTGTATATAAGTATTAATTGCTAGTAACCTATAGTTCACTGAAATTAATATAATTTGTTTTATTCATATGAAAACTAGCCACTTGGCTAAGTAAAAATGGAGTCTTTTTATTTAAGGATGAACAGCTTGAATCTTATGGGAAAAAAAACCTGAAGTTTGCTGTTACAGCAACAGGGTAAATGGCTTTGTTACCTGGGTTAGTTATAGCAACAGTGGAGCTCCCTGTTTTCACTCCATGGGCATGTATAGAATAAGGTCTTGAAGCCATGTTCTTAAAAACAATTTTAATTTTATCTCCCATATTCGCAAGTAGTAATGGCCCTGTTGGAGTGAACAGAAAGGATTTTGTTTTGACATTACAGCTGGTCACAGCAGTAAAAAAGAGAACCTCATGTTAGTGCAAAGATGCAACAGAAAGAGTTGGGGATGTGTGTGCCCTATCAGATTGCTCAGAAACTCCACCCCCCCCATAAAACTGGTGAGAACTGGTCACTACAAATGTGTGAAGAGAAGACTGAATAATTGATGTGCGTGTGTACAATCATTTTAGGTTCTGAATCACTGCAGAAACAGGGCAGTTGTAGGCTTTATTTTACTGTGTTATAATCCACTAAATCCAAACCTTGTCCTTTAAAAACAGCTGGAAGCATTCTTTTAGGGTCTGCCATCTTTTCTTTTAAGGAATTCTACCCTAAAGAACAGAATACAAGATGACAGGTGTGTGTGATATAATTTAAGAAACAGTTGATAACTTCAACCAAAGTCTCATTGAAGCTAGGAGGTGTAACTACTATGCATTCTTGCCAACACTTCCAAACATAGTACAGTATAACCTCATAAATCTGGCATCCTTGGGACCTAGCACCTGCTGGAAATTTGAAAATTTCGGATTTTTGAAACATAAAAAAGTTTCCCTCTTCAGATGTGGAGGGGGAAGCTTGCAAGCTTGCATGCAGTGGCTGTCGCCTCCGCCCACCAGCCCGTGCCACCGCTCTGCATGTGGCTGCTGCTCCGCACCCGCCTGCCACTTCCCCCTTCCTCTCCCCCTCAGATGCAGAGGGGGAAGCTTGCCATCCACCACCATCCGCCACCCACACACTGCATGCAGCGGCTGCTCCTGGACTGGCCAATGTAGCATATTTTTTTTAAAGTGCCGAATTTTTGAGAATTTCCAGAATTTTGAAAAACAGATTTATGAGGTTATACTGTATCAGAAATTAGGCATCTAAATAGGTATCTTCAAAAGATGCCGAGCAACTGCAACTCACTGAATTCAATGTGAGTTTGGCTGCTGAACTTTAGGCCAAATTTGAAAATCCTGCTCTACAAGTTGAGCAACTGTAAACCAGGAATCCCTTTTAACGCAAGCACTCATTTGGTATTATTTTGCATTAATATAAGTCAGAAACAATCCCATGGAAGTCTGTAGCTATACTAGTGTGAGTAGAATCAGGCACTATTCCACATATTGTTCAGTTTCACTTGTAGACCAGACATGACTATTGTGGTGGTAGAGTCTGCATTTCTGCCAGATTCAAGCTTGAACATGACAATCATACCTAGAATTTCCAGATGCTCTTCCTCCTCTGCCCTTTCTTTGGGAGTACTGAATGAACTGTCAGTGTATTCCCGATATACAGCTTTCTTGTACTTCGAGCCAATGAACGTATTACCCTTACTTAAAAATGGATTGCCAGGGCTGTGGAAAATAGAAGATCAATTTGAAGATACAGTAAGTCCCTCTTTCTTTTGTATTTCCTTAGCATCTTTTGATTTTTCAGTTGACATTCC